CTTGAAAATAACTATTTAACTAACACTATTTATGGACCATTTCATTCGTTAACGACGTCACTTCGCAACATTAAAACATGTGTATCTCGAAATAATGATTATTTCTAGAGCTTATTTTTATTCGTCTTCGGAATCTCTAAACGATGACAAGACGAAAATTTTTATTTCAGAATTTGATAGGGTCTTTAGAAAGTCGCTTTGTTACAGGAAGCTTTTTGGAGTTCAATCTTCCTAAAAATTTCACCATAGATGTAGGTCTTGTCTTAGAGTCTATCCTGAAGTTTTCGGATATTTTTCTCGTATAGTTAGAGATATATCCGCTAATTAATTCAAATTAATAGTCAACTGAAACAGCCAACATTTTTACATATGTCTATGCAAAAAGAACTTATCCAGAAAAAATAACTTCCGATCTGCGTCTCCAATGAACTATTTCTATTTAAAAATAAATAAATTTCTAATTGATAAACTAAACTTTAAATGAAAAATTATAATATCTATGATAACACCTTGATTTCTATTAGGATCATTGGCTATTTGATTTAAGGATGATGTTGACCAACGAAGATTATAAGACGTATGACGTTTTCTACATATAATCCATCTAAATAAGTTTATTTTTTTTAATTTTTTTATCCAATTAGGTTCATTATATGTTTCGCCAGTCCAATAACTAATCGTAAATGGAAAATACCATTTCTTTGGTATTCCATATGTACCTTTAAAAGAAAATTCGTTAATATTATCTTAAATTTCTAAAAAAAAATCTTTTCCCGGTACCTGGATAAACATTTTCAATATACCACATAAGAATAAGATGAATACATGTATCCAATAACATAAAAAGAACAGTTTCAAAACAAGTAAAATGATCACCTTCAACTGGACTATATCGAATATTATCAAATTGAATTCCTGTGCCAATATTTTCATAAAATGCAATATATTTAGCTCCCATACCAAAAGCACTTGTAGATAATAAAGACTAATAACAACAAGAAAAAAAAAAGATATAACACAATGACAATTTACATTCTTGTTGATTTAATCTAATATTTTCTTTATAAAACTTACAGCTAACATTTTAGTCCATTTAGGTATTGTATCTTGTGCTAAATCTTCTCTTATTGATATATACATACATGGTACATAGGTTAATAAATAAATAATTCCTGAACAAGCAGCAGCTATTTTAGCTTTCGAATAAAAATCACTAACAAGAAATCTAAATAATAATTAAATTTAATTAGATAAAAAGAATATTTAAAAAGAAGATAAAAAAAAGACTCTATTTGACACATACGCAAGACTAATTGTCGAAAGAGCATAAATTTCAAAAATAATAAATATTAAAAATGGATTTGAATGCATAAGAACTTTTCCATAATATAAAATTATTGTTACAGCAATCATAACAACTGTTGTTTGACTAAATATTGTTATAAACCATGCAATCCAATGTACACCATTACTTAAACCCATAATTTTCATAACTTCTTTTAAACGAACTTCTTTTTCATAAACTATACTTTGTGTTAACATTGCAAATGCATATACCCATGATATTGTTAAACATAATAGAAGAGCATGTTGAATCATTTGAAGAAAACTAAATCATTTTTTGTTTCTAATTAAAAAACAAAGAAAAACTAAATAATTAATAATGATTTACTTGTCATATGTATAACAAGGATAACTCATTTCTTGATAAAATAAACCAGGTTCAATTACTGGTCGACCAACTTGAGTATCAATTATTGCACGATCAATTACTTCCTAATCAATATTTTTTAAAATTATATTAAGTTTATTCATAGATATGATTAATAAGTGAAAAAAAAAATCATGATTCTATATTTGATCGTATATAAAATTATATGACAATTATTTGAAAAAGCTGTTTGTGCAACTTCTAAAGGATTTAAATGTGAGACACCGTGTAATTACTCTTATTAATCACAGTGATATTATTTTATTCGTTCTATTTTAGGATACATTTGTTCATCATACTTTCATTTAATCCTAGAAAAATGTTATTAGGAATATATTGCAATGAGACGTTATTGATATACAACTTGTAATATGTCGTTGCTAAGGTATCTGTTGGTGGGAAGCTGCAGGAGGTGTCCGAATTTCTACTCCTGAAACGTCGATATTTGCGCAAAAAAATGACAGTGATATTTTTCTAAAAAGTTTTCTAAAAAGACGTATTTAGTGTATTCGATGTGTACACTTTAACATAGCTTCAGACTCTATGAAACTTTCGTAGAATGCTTCTCTCTATCCGACATGTCTACTGGATTAGTGTAAATAAACGTAAATGCTTCTGAACTGAGATATGGGTTTTCTAAAAACTCTTCGATCTTAAAGATTTTCCTCATTCTTTTGTCTGAGGATTTTTAAAATAAAAATTTTTTTGTGAAGCACGATCTGCAAGGAGTGTTGAAGTATATAGGATAGAAATTTGAACCCACTTACTCTCTGCCTCTTCACAAACTGTGACAGACATTTCGAGATCCTATTAGTAAGGGTTCATTATTTACATAAGTAATTTAGAACTAATTAATAACATATTAATATATCATTAGTAACTTATTAATGACACATTAATAAATAATCAATGAAAGGAGTGTTGAATGATATAGCAATAAAATGTGAACCAGTTCCCTTCGGCTCTACAGCCAGAAATAATGGACGAAGTTTCCTATAGCGTCATAGAGCTTGACAGGTATTTCAATAGTTCAGTCTATATATCCATCAAGGACAATACGACCAACATGTGTGGAATGCTCCTTAACAAGTAGAACAGATCAATCGTGTTTCACATTTTAATCCTATGAGGATTACACTGAGAACTTTTCGATAAAAGATTAAGATAAGGGTCCCGTAATGCATTTTTCCAACGAAAATTGTTCTTTTATGAATTTTACTTTTTTCGCCATCAATCTTTTTGTCGAGTACTGAAAATTAATATTGCTATAAAAGAAAATAAACCATGTCTACGTACTCTATAGGAATTGCCTACTGTATCTTATACTTCAATACTCATTTTAGATCATGTTTTACAAAATATATAATATTAATTTTATTACCTGAATCCAACTAAATCCAAAATCATGATAAACAAAACCACTTTGTGATGGGGATGGTACCCAAAATCGATCTCTTGCACGTTTTGTTGATGGTGTTAATGAAGCATTTTGACGAATTTTATATATTGTATTTGGAGGTAATTTAGTATCATTTAAATGAACATTAGTAAAAACTACACTAGCTATAACTGTATAATTGTCATGATATGCTCGATGAAGAAAATATTCTACTAAATCATTTTCATTAGCAAATCCTTTAAATACATTTAAATTAGTTCCCGAGATAAGACTTGTCCAACTACAAGCTGCTTTGTCAATTGTCGTTATTTGTTTCATATAATTATCAATCGATGGATCACTTAAATTTTTAAGTATATTAACAATTTTATTCATTGATGGTAAATGTAATAGAGGACCAAATTCTTCAACAAATTTTTTCATCTAAATTAAATATTTTTTATTAATTAGACAAAAAAAATCATAAAGTTTTTTTTTTGTTCTTTATTACTCGTCTTAGTGATTCAACTTTTTTTGCTGTACCATTTGTAAGAAAACATGTTTTAAGAACATTTGATACATTTCTCCATTCATATGCATATTTAGTTATTGTATCAAGTAAAACAAATAGATCTCTATAAAAAACGATTTATTTAAATTTATTTAATAGAATCAAAAATAACGATATATTCCTATTCGACTTTAAATATCATCATGTTAAACGAGTTGTTCAATTTTTTCTGTTTTTTTTAAATTAAATTATGAAAAAATTTGTTGAAAAGATTTAAGATTAACTTAATAGTTTCATAAGTCGAATATGTATTATTCGAGTTGGTTATTCCCTCTACTGAAAGGAGGGTCATACACCGAGTTGGGTTCGTATGTTCGTAACTTCGTTTGTAACTTCGTTTGTTCGTTCGCACAGAACGGAAAAATGCTTTTTTTACCTTCAGCAAAGTTATTTGTGAAAATGTAGACAACAATTGACTTCCAGTGTCAACAGGGGTTTTCCAAGATGTGCTATCACCCAATCGGATTGGGCGCCGAGCAAATCCAACCAATCAGACGTTTTTCTATCCATGTGAAGCTAGCACGACGACGAATCAGGACCGATCTTCCATTCGACCAATCAGCGCTCGAGCATAATTTACCACAGCTATTCCATATATTACCACCGCAAACTCCCTTAGCAACCCCACGTTTTTTCATAAAAACCGACAAAATGGGATCATCTCTTCAAAATATATCATTTAAACTATATAAAAAAAACCAAATTCTCATCAACTCCAACAAAAAGAAAAAAATTACGAACATCCACTACATGGATCCATTCATGTGAAGCTACCACGACAGATTTTGAAAAAAGCTCAATTTTTGAGGCACCCATCCATTGCCCGAAGATAAGCTATACATCATTTTGTAGAGAATTTAATTCTGCATCGAATGATGTATAGCTTATGCTAAGAATCCATTTTGTTCGGGGTGAGATGCCCTTAAGTATGGCATGAGTCATAAAATAATTGCAAAAAATTTTTAAAAAAATGTAATTTTATAGGCAACCATTTATTGCCCAAAGATAAGCCACACGACATTTTCTAGAGAATTTAATTCTGCGTCGAATGATGTATAGCTTATATTAAGAATGCATTTCCTTCGGGGTGATATGCCCCCAATTATGACGTGACTCATAAAAAAATTGCAAAAAATTTAAAAAAAAATTTTTTTCTCCAGGAAACGATTCATTGCCCGAAGATAAGCTATATACAATTTTGTAGGGAATTTCATTCTGCATCGAATGATGTGTAGCTTATAATAAGAATTCATTTCGTTCGGGGGGGATATGCCCTCAACTATGACATCAGTGATAACAAATTTCAAAAAAAATTTGATTGCTGACGATACCATCCATTGCCCGAAGATAAGCGATACATAATTTTGTAGAGAATTTAATTCTACATCGACTGATGTATAGCTCATATTAAGATTCTATTTCCTTCATGGTGATATCCCCTCAATTACAACATGAGTCATAAACAAATTCAATAAAATTTTGAAAAAGATTTAACTTTCCTGGCAACCATCCATTGCCCGAAGATAAACTATACATCGTCTTGTAGAGAATTTAATTCTCTATCGACTGGTGCATAGCTCAAATTAAGATTTCATTTCCATCCGGGTGATTCTCGATCAATTATGAAATGAGTCATACAAAAATCTAAAACAATTACTAGAAAGAACTATATTTTTGCAAAGCTGATCCATTGCCCGAAGATAAGCTATACATCAACTTGTAGAGAATTGAATTCTCTATCGATTCATGTACAACCCATCTTAAGAATACATTTCGATATGGATCATCCGTTCTCAAATATGAGTCCAGTCAGCACAAAGAACAAAAAAAATTTTAAAACAAACAAAGTTTTATCAAAATAGTCCATTGCCCGAGGATGAGTTGTACATCAACTGATAGAGAATTTAATTCTGCATCCAATGATGTATAGCTTCCCTTTAGAGTACATTTCCATATAGGTAATATATGGTTACCTATGAACGGAATCATCAAAAAAACCCAAAAATTTTGGATAAGAAAACCAATTTGTGGACGAGACGGTCCACTAGCCGGACATGAGTTATACGTCATCTTGCAGAAAATTCAATTCTATAGCAAATGATGTATAATTCATGCCCGGGCAATGGACCGTCTCGTCCATAAATTGCTTTTTTTTGTGATTTCTTTCATAGGTGACCATATATCACTTGTATGGAAATGAATTCTAAAGATGAGTTATACATCATTGGATGGAGAATTAAATTCTCTACAAGATGATGTGTAACTCATGTCCTGGCAATGGATCGTGTGGGCCATAAATTGGCTTTTTATTAAAAATTTTGCTTTTTTTTGTGATTCCATTTATAGGTGACTATATATCACTTGTATGGAAATGGAAAGTGAAGATGAGTTATACATCATTCGATGCAGAATAAAATTCTCTACAAGATGATGTATAACTCATATCCGGGCAATGGACCGCGTGGTCCATAAATTGGTTTTTTATTAAAAATTTTGCTGTGTTTTTGTGATTCCATTCATAGGTGACGATATACCACCTGTATGGAAATGGACTCTAAAGATGAGTTATACATCATTGGATGGAGAATTAGATTCTCTACAAGATGATGTAGAACTCATGTCCGGGAAATGGATCGTCTGGTGCTGAAATTGATTTTTTTTCAAAATTTTGTGCTTTTGTTTCGTCGTGCTAGCTTCACAGTGATTTCTGTTGCTAAGGCCGCCATGTCCAAATTATTAGCCTCCGCTATGTTTTTTTTTGTTTTTAGATTTTCTGATTGGTGATTCATGGGACCAATAAACTTTTGTCTCTCGTCGTGGTAAATCGTCGTGTTGTGCTAGCTTCACATCGATCCTTTTTCTGATATGGGCTCTTAGCCAATCGGATTTCGCGGACGCAAAATCGAGCCAACTAGAAATTTTCCGATAGGGGCTCTTAGCCAATGGGATTCGGCAAAGCAGAAATCGAGCCAATCAGAGCTTTTCCATATGGACTCTTAGGTAATGGGATTTGGCAAAGCCACATTCGAACCTATCAGAGGTTTTCCGATATGGACTCTTAGCGAATGAGATTTGGCAAAGCCGAAATCCAACTAATCAGAGGTTTTCCCCTATAGGCTCTTGGTCAATGGGACTTCGCGAAGACGAAATCGAGCCAATCAGAGGTTTTCCGATATGGGCTCTTATCCAAAGGGATTTCGCCCAGCAGAAATCGAGCCAATCAGAGGTTTTTCATATGGACTCCTAGCCAATGGGATTTCGCGGAGACGAAATCGAGCCAATCAGAGTTTTCCCTATATGAACTCTTAACCAATGGGATTTGGCAAAGCCGGAATCGAACCTATCAGAGGTTTTCCGATACGGGCTCTAAGCCAATGGGATTCCACGGAGGCGAAATCGAGCCAATCAGAATTTTTTTCATATGGACTCTTAGCCATTGAGATTTCGCGAAGCCGAAATCAAGGCATCAGAGGTTTTGCTATATGGGCGATTAAGCAAGGAAATGTCGTGCTGCGGAACTCCAGCTAA